TATAGTATAGTAGTATATATAGTATAGTAGTATATATAGTATAGTAGTATATATATATACAGTAGCCTTGGTCCAGTTCTGGTCTGGTTCTGATGGGCTCTCTGCAGCCGTTGAGCACCAGATGCTTTTGGAGAAAGCCGGACCTTTGGAGAGCCAGCACAAAACCACACAATGGTCCAGATCGAGTCCAAATAATCCAGAGAAATCCGATGTAAGAAGTCTGGGTGAGCTCCAGAGAAGACACCGGACCTCCGAGAAACGCTTCCTGCTTGAGAGGTTCCCTGGGCGGGTGAACAGCACTCAGATTGACCAAAGAGGCTGATCCGGTTCTGGTCAAGTTCTGATTGGCTCTCTGCAGTCACTGAGTGCCGAAGTCACTATGAATAATCATAGACGTATATAAATACTAGACTCCTTGTTGAGCGGGCTGGCCCGCTGCAGCAGTACATCAGAGCGTCCGCCATTTTAAATGTGGCGGAACTGCCGGTCATTTAATGCAAAGAAATAGACAGAATTTCATAAAGCACCGTTCTACAAAGTGTTTTAAGTTAATCCCTGTCTTTCACACTCTAATATATGGAAACAAACAGGCACCAAAGACATTATTTGTAACTTTTTAATGCAAAAGTTACAAATGTGCTCTTGTCAAGCTCTGTCTTCCCGGGAACATTGTAGAATCCAAAATGACTTTACACTGAGTTTTAATGACGAAGAAGCGGGTTGAATTGCGCTATCCTCCTGCTCCATGCCAGCAGACTCCATTCAGATAAAGGGAGCTAGCTAACTAACTTGCTGTACAGTGGCCTACAAGGCCAAATTCTACAGTGACAGGTGGACACGCAAAACTGCCAACTACATCTGAACCTCCACTTCTTCTGATCGTGTTGACAGACAGCGCCACAAGAAATGAACTCATTTACAGAGCAATATTGGAGATGATGTTGCAGCATGGCTACAGCCGGACTTACAAGCAGTTCTGGGATAAGCTAAAGAAATTGAAGTCCGATTATAGGGTGGCTAAGGACCACAACGAGTGGCTCAAGCCCAATGACCTGTTACAACACTTCCCACTTTGCATTGACAATTCCACCCACAGAGTGGAAAACCACAGTGGCAAATCACCGACACCTGAGAAGAACTGATGAGACAAGAGCCGAGTGGAGTCGCACTTATCAATGTCAAAGCAGCTTATGTGAATAAGGATGATGATGGCGAGCTGTCAGTTGAAGCTTAATGCTTTGTGCATTATTCTGTTGGGCAATTTTGAATTTTGTTGATCTCACTTACACACACTACCTACTGTAACATTATTGCAAATTACACTGTCTGGCCAAAAAAAAAGTTGCCACCAAAAAAAGGTCACACACTAATATTTCGTTGGACCGCCTTTAGCTTTGATTACGGCATGTATTTGCTGTGGCATTGTTTCAATAAGCTTCTGCAATGTCACAAGATCTATTTTCATCCAGTGTTGCATTAATTTTTCACCAAGATCTTGCAGTGATTACTAGGCATGATAGGTGCATCACTTCACCTGCCTCTCTTCTTACCCTGATGCGCCCATCACTCTGGAACAGGGTAAATCTGGACTCATCAGATCACATGACCTTCTTCCATTGCTCCAGAGTCCAATCTTTATGCTCCCTAGCAAATAGAAGCCTTTTTTTCTAGTTAGCCTCACTATTAGTGGTTTTCTTAAGGCTACACAGCTGTTCAGTCTCAATCCCTTGAGTTCCCTTCACATTGTGAGTGTGGAAATGCTCTTACTTTCACTATTAAACACATAGCCCTGAGTGCTACTGTTGTTTTTCTTCGATTTGATTTCACCAAACATTTTAAGTGATCGTCGATCACGTTCACTCAGGATTTTTTCGGCCACGTTTCTTCCTCAGACGATTGGTCCCCACTATCCTTCCAATTTTTAATAATGTGTTGGACAGTTCTTAACCCAATTTTAGTAGTTTCTGCAATCTCCTTAGATGTTTTCTCTGCTTGATGCCAATGATTTGACTCTTCTCAAACAGACTGACATCTTTTTCACGACCACGCGATGTGTCTTTCACCATGGTTGTTTACAAAATGAGAAGCAGCTCGTTGCACCAGTTGGAGTTTAATAACTTGTTGCCAGCTGAAAGATCATTGCCCATGCAGTAATTATCCAATAGGAGGCTCGTACCTAGTTGCTTAGTTAAATCCAGGTGGTAACTTTTTTTTGGTCAGGCAGTGTATGTTCACCCTTTGTAGCAAAAGTGTTTCCTAATGAGATGGACCTCTTTGAGCAGTGTAATGTAACATTGCACACTGCTGAAATTGTTTTATGTTGATGGTCTGCTGCAATTATAACTGCATCCTGTCGTGGATACTAAGTCTCTCAAAAGTACATTTTCAAGGCTTAATAGATTTTATATTTACTTATAATAGTGAGAGGTTAATATTGTGCAAGAAGTATCTTAATGTCATGTTCAACAATTTTTTTTTTGGTGGGTATTTATTTGTTTATTTCAGATCTCCTAGAAGGAGGAGGTCAAGATCGTCATCTCTCTCAAGACGGTCAAGGCATCGACGCTCTCCCTCCAGAGAACAGCGCAGGAGATCTCGTTCACGTTCTCGGGATAGAATTGAAAGCGATAAGGACAAAGAACGCAGGCAGAAAGGTTTTCCCATCATAAAGAGCCAGACACTCAGTGGTATGTACCCTGACAAAACAAAGCAACTGAATGATGCAGACTACAGAACTGCAAGAATCACAAAATGCATGCCATTTTTTGTTCTAGTCTTAATTAGGATTTTTATAGAATACATTTAATTTTAAAGTGATTTAAAAAATGTTTGTAAATTTAATTCCCATGACTATACATTAATAATAGTTTAAAAAAAAAAATAAAAAAAATTAGCCCACTTGTAACTTGCTTTTTCATGTAAAGTAGTGAATTATGATGAGGTTCTACCTGTGTGGGGCTTATTGTCTAACCATCTTGAATCAAAAAGGTGCACAAGAGTAGGACATGGAATAATTTTAATAAAAATCTTGCTGTTGATGGAAAATTCCTGGTCATCAAACTCAAAAATTGTTCACTTGTAAAATTCAGGTATTTCTGGCCAAATTTGTGAAGTGAATGTCTAAGTAATGGAGACTGTAGATCCCAATATCTGAATGTAGGTATCAGAATCGAATCAGAACCAGAGGTAGATTGGTGCATCTTTACTTCTAGGCTCTACTTTCATGCCAGTCCTATAATATTCCCAACAAAAGAAAAAGAACATGTTCACTTTGCAAAAATGGTTGCACAGCCCAAGTTTAGGATTTGTTCTTCCATTGATGATTGTACAAAATATGTTGGCTTTTAAAGTAACTACAGCACAATCCAGATATGTTTTAACTCCAACCCTTTTTTGTTATTTTAGTTTGCACTACTACAATTTGGGTTGGACAGCTGGACAAGAAAACTCAGCGGTCTGATGTAATGGCCCTTTTGGAAGAGTTTGGCCAGATTGAGTCAATTAATGTAAGTAATTTTATGGAAAACATATTTCTCAGCTGCAGCTACTATGGACAAAATGTATTTACTTTTATTTATCACCTTGTGGTCTAGATGATTCCTCCACGTGGTTGTGCCTACATTGTCATGGTTCACAGACAAGATGCTTATACAGCCTTGAAAAAACTCAGCAAAGTTTCTGCATACAAAGTCAGTCAGAAACCCGTTAAGGTATGTGCTCAGTTATTCAGCTTGTTTGTTCTTTCATTGTCGAATTTGTTTGGCATACAGTAGTCCCTCGATTATCGCGGGGAGTACGTTTCAGAGACCAGTGCAACAAGTGAATATCCGCGAAGTAGGAACGCTATATTTATTTTAGTATTTATATATATTTTAAGGCTTTATAAACCCTTTCCACACTCTTGCAATGTTCTTTACAATATTCTAAACTCTTAAACCTATATAATATTAACAACATGCGTAATATGGGGGCCGAGATGGGGTAGAGGCAGCGCAGCAAACTCGGGACCGGAAAGCCCCAGGCTTGATCCCCAGTCATTGCACTTCTCGTGGTGTCTCTGAGCAGGATACCATATCTGCAATTGCTCCCCGGGCACTTTCAATAGCTGCCCACTGCTCCACCTGAGTGTATCCCAGGTGCGATGGGTTAAATGCAGAGAGCCAATTTCGTCATTGTGTGGGAACATACAATAATGACAACTAGGGGTGCACCGATAAATTGGCCGAACAATTTATCGGCCCCGATTTCCTTAATTTTGGGGAATCAGAAATCGTCTGACACTTGCATGAGAAACTGATTTTAATGATTTTTTTTGTTGTTGTTTTAACAACAATTGTCTAAACTTCATTTATATTTCAGAGCACCACCTCATTGCCAGTTAAAACAAGTGTGTATTGTTTCTAGGATATTGTTCAAGGGTATGTCTTTCAATAAAATAAGATCGGAAAATTGAAGTTGCATTGTGACCTTATAACACCTGACAGTGTTACTTATAAAACAAAATCGGTATCGGCCAAAATCTGAATCGGCAGGTCAGACTTTTTAGAAAGGTGATCGGCCAGAAAACTACATTCGGTGAACCCCTAATATTATTCTCATCTGTACTGTACAGTACAGTACTGCAAAATTTTTCTCACCAGCTCTGCAGATCAGCAGGTTCTGTTCTGATTGGACTCACTTCCGGTTCAACAGACCTACCCTGCAGCGACGAAGCCCACCGCCCCGTCCAGGTTGATGTGTGCGTAGATAATTGAGCTTCAGGAAGCGTCAGGATTATTTGCGACTTTCCTGCCGGTTTTGTGACCTTAATAGATACAGTAGATCATTTGTTCTGATTTTACGTTGCAAAACTGGTAGAAAGCATCAGTCGGAAGCACTGTTGACTTCTGGGTAGTTTAGTTCTTTTGACTTGTGTTACAGTATAGGCTTATTGAAAGAAAATGGCACCTGTCCTCTAAGGTTTTTTTTATTTTTTATATACTATTTATACCGTACCAACCCAGTCACGTGAGTAATATTAAAGTTGACAATATTGTGTCATACAGTAATGTACTGCAAAAATTTACATGGGTATAGTACTCACCAGCTCTGCAGATCAGCTGGCTAGGTTACGATCGGGCTCTCTTTCAGTTTGGCAGAACTACCCTGCAGTGACGAAGCCCACCGCCCCATCCAGGTAGATGTGCGCGTGGATAATTAAGCTTCAGGATTATTTGCAAATTTCCTGCCAGTTCTTTGAGCTTGCATTGCAAAACTTTTCCTCCATTTCCCTTCGGCAGAAAGCAGCGGCCGGAAGCTCTGTTGGCTTCAGAGTAATGTAGCTGTTCTGACGGGTGTTACAGTATAGGCTTATTGAAATAAAACTACAAAATGGTGACACGTGCCCAATTTTTTTATTTATTTTTTTGTAAATTTTTTACTGTATCCCGTACTGTCCCAATCATGTAATATTAAAGTTGACAATTGTGTCGTGTACAATCTTCTTTTTTTTCCTCGTGTACAATCTTACTTTGAAAAACTGTAAAATAGCGAGTGCGCAAAAGTCGAACTGCGAAGTAGCAAGGGACTACTTACTGTAACTTGTTCTGATTTGTGCTTCTAAAAATCACCCCCTACACGACGCCCCCCCCCAGATTGCTTGGGCATTAAACAAAGGCATAAAACCAGCACACAAAAAGTTCTGGGATGTGGAGCAGGGAGTTACTTACATTCCCTGGAGCAAAGTCAAAGTTGAGGAGTTGGAGGGTTATCAAGAAGGGGGTATGCTGGACCCAGAGACTCTAAATCCAGGTAAGCTTGAGCTTCTGTTAGCTTGAGCTGAATTCACCTGCTGAAAGGCATATTTGGTCTTATTTTGGGGTTATTGTCATTGCTGTAGAATGGACCAACTTCAAGGAACTCAACAACCAGGCAGTTGTAAACGGAGCATTGGAAATGGTACCGGATCTGACTCACTCTGCTCACATTCAGGTAATTCTTATGCAGTCTTTTAATGTTTTCTTTTTAAATCAAATGTTCTTGTTCTTTTGGTGGATTGGGCTTGACAAGAACATTGTTTCAAAGTTTTTCTTATTGCTGCTGTAACAAAATAAATTATTCTTGCAAACAAGTGGTGGAGCCTATCTGAATCACATAATTTTTTTTTATATATATCTGGTCAACTGAAATTGAAATGCCTACAATATTTTTAAAAGGTTATCAAAGGTGTATTCCAGAAAGATATGCTAAGTTTTAAACAATTCTATCAGAACTTTACATTTTAATAAAAAGTTCTTTTAAAAGATTTTGTGAAAAACAAACCGTGAAATCGCTGTTTTATTACCTTTTGTTTTTTATTATCTATTCCGTTTTAGCAATTTTTTATTCTTCAGCACTGACATATTATTGACTTTAATAGTACCATGTAAAGTAATGCTTTACAGATTCACAAAATTTGTTAAGGACCACAGTATATACCGTATTTTCCGCCGTACCTGACGCACCACTCTACAAGTTGCGTCAGTGCAAATATGTCTAATAAAGTGGAAAAATCCATAAATATGTTGCTTGGCCGAATACGTCGCATCGATTATGCGTCACCGCTGACGCATCGCGTTTGTTACGCGTCACCGCTGACAACCTGGCTGGAAATGTGGGCCGAACCCAGAAATGTGGGCCGGTGTTGTTGCAAAAATTGATTGGCTGCGAAATGATGGCCGCGGGGGTGTGCACGGGAGGACTTTAACAAGAATTTAACGAGATTAACACTTAAAATCTATTATTTGTTTGGTCAAAATTACAGTAAAGGTGTGTCTCAGTCCAACTTTTCTTTAATAAATGCACTTTGACGGTGAAATCAGCTGCATTAAAAAAAAAAAAAAACAATACATGGAAACATGAACGTGCAGAGGGCAACTCGCTGTGCATTTCTTCGAAATTTAACAAGAAAACCACCTAAAAAGAATTGTTTGTGCAACATTATAACAAAGGTGTGTCTCAGCTGAACTTTTACATAATAAATGGACTTCAATGGTCAAATTAGCTGCATTTCGCCGGGGCAGCGCAGCAAAATGAAGCTGATTAGACGGTTGCTCCAAGCGTGCTGGACGAAGGTGGCAGGCGATGGCAAGCTGATTGTGCCATTAATAGCCACTTTTACCTATTACATAACACAACGGCATGCCATACTTCTGGAGTGCCATCTAGCAGCTGAAAATGATAGTGTTCAAAGTAGTATAGTAGTATTTTCAGTCAGAATGAATGGAAACAGTCATATCTCAGCCAAAAATTGGTTTATAAATATGGGGGGGGGATCCATAAATGCGTCACTTTGGCGTATAAGTCGGAGGGCTTGCAAATAATGAAAAAAATTGCAGTTTATAGGGCGAAAAATATGGTACTGGAAGATTACAGTATATTTTACATAATAAATGGTCTTGTGTTGCACAGACTTACCGGTACTCAAAGTGGCCTGAACAAAAGTCATATCAGTGTATCTATGTTATAAAATAAATGTGTATTCTTCTATTAATCAGAACAATAAGGACAATAAAAAATGTGACATTTATTTCATGCCATTAGTGATTGCTATAGCTGGGCGATCTCTCGATATTTTAAAAATATCTAGATAATGTTTTTGCAATATAAGATAAGACTATTTAGATATAAACAATATAGTGTTATACAGTAGTCCCTCACTACTTCGCGGTTCGTTTTTTGCGGATTCGCTATATCGCGGTTTGTCAAAGTAAGATTGTACATGACACATGATTCATGGATGAGCCGTGGATTGTTTATTTAAAATAAATTATTTAAAATGATTTTGCTCCATGTGTGCTGCCCACAACTGGAAGGGAAAGCTCCCTTCTGCAGCCGATCAGCTGCTTTCCTTCTCTGCTGCCACACATATTTCTCCTGCTGCATCGGATTTGTGAAGGGTTAACCCTTTGTTGTCTGCTGCACCGATCAACTTTTGTCTCCCTACTTAAAATTCAAAGCATGTCGCATCGTAAAGTCGTCATAATCGCAAAATATAAAAGTGTTAAAAGTTATTTTTTAATTATTTTAGACCTTCTATGTTCAACTGTTTCAGTGTAATTGATCAAGAAGTACATTTCTGCTTCGTGCTGCAGAGCTACGTGAAGAGTTAACCCTTTGACGTCCTGCTGCACTTCTCTACAATTTTAATTTGATTACTGTAACATTTTAAATAAACAACCTATGCTGTATGGATCATTATTATTTTTTTATGTTATAGTATTCAAATTTAAATAGTTTATTTAAGGAGGGAGATTGGGAGTAACAGGTGATGAGTGAGTGTGACTACAGCCTGGCACATGTCATGACAAGGTTTACTGAACTTGAACTTGGACTACTGTATCCCTACTTTGCAGTTTTCCTGTTGCGGAAGCACAATCCATAGTGTACTTCCGGGTCTCACAGTTGATTATGAATAAAAACTCTTAATTTACAAAAAAAAAAGTCCATGCTCAATAATCCATGTCTTAATTTACTTTGAAAATTACGTGCGCTGTCTCAACCGATCTTAAATTAATCTAGCTAATTTATGCCACTCGTATTTCCCGCCATTGTTTATGAATAAAAACTGTCTTAATTTACTTAGAAAAGTACGTGCTCTATTTTCACCGATCTTGATGTAGCTAATTTACGCCACTCGTATTTCCATTATAAATCATTGGTTAAGATGATATGCAACACATTAGACCTGACCCCCAGCCTGGGCTGAATGAGAAAAACCCTGCAAGATACAGAATGAATTATTTCCATGGTTTCCATTATTTCCGCTTAGTCGTGAAGCTGCATATCATTTTAACCATGGCGTAAATATGTCAATGATTTTAACGGAAATACGAGTGGCGTAAATTAGCAACATGAAAATCGGTGGAGATACAGCACATACTTTTCTAAGTAAATTAAGACGGTTCTTATTCATAAACAGAATTATACCAGTACATTTTCCTTAATCTAGCATATTGAACGGCGATCCGTGCGACCTGGAAGTATTCCTTTTAGCGTATGCGCAAATGAGCTACACTAGGGATCTGGTTCCGCAACAGATTGGGTAACCACAGCGCGCTGTCCCCGCTTCCTTTTTCTCTCTCTCTCTCTCTCTCTCTCTACCCGCTTCCTGCTTCTCCCGAAGGTGGGCGGGAGACGTTTAGCACAACATGTAAACACGGAAGATATGAAGAGCAGCTGAGCAAAAAGAAAAACAATGGCTGTGCTTTCAGAAATGATTTGGATTTGTCAGATGAGGGACAGAAAAATGTTTTCTGTAGACGGTGCTGAAAACAAGTCCCGACAAAAGGTTGGAACTACAAATCTTTTTTCACCATTTAAAATGGCGCTATAAGTGGAGTATGAAGCATATGTGAAGCTGCAGCTGCAGGTCCAACAGACTTCATCCTCCTTCTCTGAAACAAACCATGGGTCAGAACTCATTTAGCCGTGCTGTGCCTTATGAGAGGAACAGTGAGAGGTGGTGCTGTGGCATTAATAAAGCAGCAGCTTATCATATCGCTAAACACACAGTGCTTAGCAGCTAACAAGACCTTGGCTAACACTTTAGCCGTATTGTTCCACAGTTGAGACTTGGACCGTGTCTTTAGTGATATGATAAGCTGCTGATTTATTAATGTTGCACCACCTCACTGTTCCTCTCATAAGGCACAGCACGGCTAAATGAGTTTTATACTGTGGATTGTTTCAGGGAAGGAGGCTGAAGTCTGTCCGAGCTGCAGCTACAGTTCACACACGCTTAACGTCATGAAGGCGCGGCATTTGAAGAGGAATTATTATTTAATATATGTAAATAAAGGTCTAAAAATAAATTATTTAATATATGTAAATAGATTTTTTTTAGACATTTTGTAGAGTTGACTCGAATATATTTTTGATAGCACAACTTGTACTTGTATATGTAAATAAATGTCTAAAAATAATCAAATTTTAATATGTAAATAGTTTTTTTTAGACATTTATTTTGTAAAAAGCTTTGACTCAGAAATACATTTTTGTTATTACTTTATGGAAAGAAAAAAGATATATATCATATATCGCAATTTATCTTAAAAATATTGAGCTATTCATTTTGCTTCATATCGCCCAGTCCTAGTGACTGTATTAGGTCTTGTAGTACTTGTTCACTAAAAGATAGTCTGACATGTCGGCTGCGCTACAGTAACTGAAAGCTCATCACATTTGAGTGACACTTAAGGTGCAACCTTATTAAACAACTAATAACTTTTATTTTGATTTTAAAAAGATACATTCTGCATGAGTATTTGAAGAACTCAATTGTTGTCCAGATGTTATTCATAATATTAACAATTTTTAATTTTTATTTTTTTCTGCATCGTACCTGTATGTTCTGGTTTACCAAATGAGAAATCTAAAGATACAGTTTTGCTCCTCACACCAGTTCAGATATGCTCCTCTGCTTGTAGAGCTTGCATTCAGGGATGCTTATTCATTCATTTCTTCTTTCTTTCTTACAAAGTCTTTGCATCTCCAATCAGTAATCTTGTACTGTTTTATCGAACACGTTTAAATAAAATTGAGATTAAAAAAACTTTTTATTACTGTTGTATGTGTGCAGGGAAGCTTTTCTGTTATTCTTTCCGTGTTCAGTAACTAAACTCATCAGAATGTGTGGAACATGTATGTTATTGGGTGTTTGGCAGAAATATTTGTAAATGCAAGTTATTTTTTTGACAGCAAACTACATAAAAATATTTTTGCCATTTACCCATAGGTGAAATTAGCAAATCTGTAAGATAGAAGAAAAATAATAAATAAATAATTAACAACGAAACAGTATTACAGGCGTCAGCGAACGAACAGTAAAAAGTTGAAGTAAATAACTACCGTATATAAAAATAGTCTTTAAAAGATGAAAGAATATAGATAACTAATTGCCAGACTCTGCTCCATCTCCTGCCTGAAGGCAGGGGAGCAAACGGTTTACATGC